AATGTGTCATGTTTTTGGTGTTAGCGCCGCTCATGTTTGGACATTGGGGCTTGGGTTTAGGGTATTCGCCCTAATAGCCCCTTTAGTAGTCCCTATATGATTCCTTCTATAAATCCTAATCCCTAAGCCCTAGGCCCTAAACCCTGAACCCTAAATCCTAATCTTTAAACCCTAAACCCTACACACCCCAAAGTTGCATCCCATTTCTGCTTTCTGGGGCCAGGGAAAGGAGATGATGTTGGATATACAGTGCTTAGGCGCTAGGATCACCGCAACGAACGTGGTGAATTGGAATGAGGCCTCCAGGTAATTTTTGCAAGCGTGGTATATTCATCCAATCATTGTGTGGCAGATTGCTTGTAATCATTCAGGCTGGTTTCAGGTTAGACATGTAGGTTTCCTCTCCTAAACAAGGAAATCGCGCACCCCCAATCATAAATGTTCCCAGCACTTCACATCTACCCCTCCTTAATTAATCCCAAGCCCTTACACTCTGGACACTCATGCCCATATCGAGCCCGTATCCAGGGCTTATGTGGGTTTCTTTGATATCGTTATCCAACCCCTGTATCTTCCTCTTGGGCCCGCAAGTTTATGCGTATAAATATGAAGATGTACATATATATATACACATAAACCCGAAGACCCAATATGATCCTATACAATCCTTTTTGACCCCTGCCATCTTCCTACCCGCAGGTCTACATTCTGAGCTCGGACGTGTCAATGGCAAAGGCGGCGGTCAAGAGTTTTGAGGCCTTATTCACGCGGGATGGCGTTCTGAAGCGCAGCTTGGGTCCTGCTCACAAGGGTTGGCGTGCTGATAACGTTCAAGCTTTGCTGGTGGCTCTTCTGGCCGCGGTGGATGGTAAGCAAGACATTATCAAAGCAAAATTCAGCCGAAGGACCGTTATGGTTATGTTGGGCAGGTAGACTTGTATGTGCATTGAAAACTTTTGCCACAGTGAAGTTTAGAATTAAGTTCGTCAATAAGTTCGTCAATTCGCCAATGCCCAAAATTCAGTTCGTCAATATATTGACGAACCTATTCTTAGCAAAGAGGAGCAGTTCGTCAATAATTGACGAACCCATTTTCCCCATTGACGAATTGACGAACTTATTGACGAACCTAACTGCTCGTATATTAGATTATTCACAAACCCCTTGCTGCAGGAAAAACTTTGCCGAACTTCAGGAAGAGATTATGAATGATCGAGTCGTATTGAGATCAACGACATAGCTGCTTCAATGAGCTTGGTAGCAGGTTTGTTTCTAAAGATAACCAGCCAAAGACTAGTATGCAATGTTTTTGATGAAACAACCATAATGCACTTCAAAAGTATGCTAGTAGTCCCTTATATCCTATATAGCCAATTATGTATATAATCCCCTTTAAGGTGCTTAGATTATATGCCTTATATGGTATTGGGGTAGGGTGAGGATCCTTGCTGATTTCCCTAATATCCATCCCGATGGAGATACGGTCCAGACAGCGGAGAGAAGAGTTTCGGGTTTAGGCTTTGGGGTAATAGAAGCGGAACCCTACTTTGTAACCACATTGGCAGCCAAGTTGCTATGCACATGAGAAAGAATGCGTTCGCTCTGTGGCCGTTCGCGCTGGCTTTAATATGGGAGGATTCGGCAGTCCATGCACGGAACCATGAATGCATTTCAGGTTTAAAGTAGGGGTGCCAAGCCACGCCCTAACCCTTCTCAACCCCTAACCCTCAACCCCTGAGGTCCTTTGGGGGTGGGCGGTGAAACCCCCCTCGCAGACGGATGCCTTGAATAGACTTTAGGTTTGGGTGGATTAATTAGGCTGGCTCTTCCACACAGAGAGGGTAAAGCACATACAAACTTTTGCTTTACGGTGTGGGGTGGTGCGGGTGTGGTGGAGGTGGGGGTGTGGGGGGTGTGTGGTGGGGGTGTGGTGGGGGTGTGGTGGGGGTGTGGTGGGGGTGTGGTGGGGTGTGGTGGGGGTGTGGTGGGGGTGTGGTGGGGGTGTGGGCTCACGTCCCTCCAAGTCATTCATCTGGAATGCTGTCAGCACGTTTGGCCTCAAGGGGCGAGGTTGGGG